AACAACGTGAGTGAGGAAATTCGAGTAGTTTTGACCCAGAAAGCGAAATTTGAATATCAGACACTTAGGTGCAAGATTATTCCAAAATTCCATGTCTTCCGTCCCGTTTTTGCTCATTTCTCAGAGGCAAAATGAGCAAGAACGCTCATTTGTACATCATTCTAGACAGAAATAAATGACCTTTTAAGAAAGTGAACCATGGATGGGGAAATGTTGGCAGTTTTCTCAAAAAATGTTTGAATTCGGGAAGTTTTAGATTTGAGTGGTTTTTTTCTTGAGTTGCAAAATCCACTTGAACCACTGCTTTTTTCGAGGTTTCTCAAGAACCATTCGAGCCAGATAATTCGTTTTGGCACCGTTGGATAGAGAATTGAATGGGGGGGGGGGTCATGACCCTCATGACCCCCCTTGGGTCCGCCCTTGGCCAAATTATTGGCCAATAAATCTGGAAAGTGCGTACCGGCATAACCACCTCTTGAAATGACAAACATTATGTATAAATGTTATCACAAAATGCCAACAAAATGGCCTCGATTTGCATAAAAATTCCATTTAGGCACTTTGTTAGTAGAACAGCCACAAAACCAAATCGACAAAAAATAAAATAAAATAATAACCTGATCGCCGCCCACCACAGTACTAGTAGTCTTAACTTCCTGAGTGACCGTTCGCTGCTCCTGTCTGGTGGCGCTGCTGGTCATAGAGTGCGCCACTGTCTTCTCCTCGAGCTGCTGCGTTTTGGCGTTAGTGCCCAAGTCTTCGTGCGTTGTTGCCGTTCGGGTGGTGACAGCGCGGGCTGTTATGTAGGGCGAGGTGCCATCCTCTGTCAGTGGCGTATCGGCCTAAATGTGTCGGGTAACAAAGCAAATAGAAAACGGAACCAAACAAAATAAATAATAATAAATCAAGCGAAAGATATCAAAAAAATATTTCGAAATTGGTAAAAAATACTGGGTGTTTGAATAATTATTGACGATCAAGCAACCACAGTTGCATAAAATTAAACAAGCAGTGGGCAAAGAAAACTAAAGAGAATAAAGAACAGAAACATCAACAGGAGGCTTAACTGAAAAGTGTGAAGAAATCACTAGACGGTATTAAACTCGAGTCGAAATAATAAAAAAACTCACCTTGTTCACGTGGGTGGACACCTTTATCTCGCCAGTTCGTCCATCAGCAACGCGTTCCTCAACGTTCTGAGTGACGCCGTCTTTGTCCTTCGTGATAATCTGCTTAGTGGTAGTTTTAACAATGACCGGTGTAGAGGCGCTGCCCGCAACTCCCTTGGCCCCCTTGGATAAATTAAGGCTCGGCAATTCCTTCAGACTTTCTGAAGCGTACTCGTGAAGATCGTCCTCACTGGATTCGTCCTCGCCGTCTTTGAGGTAGGTTTTGACGCGCACCTTCGAGTCTTTGAGGTCGGTGAAGTGGCTGGGATCAATCTGCGCATAGTTGAGGATCAGTTCCCCTGTAATGGGGTCTCTGAGCGCAGTCTCTGGATCGATATCGCCAGTTTGAGGATCAATGTGACCCCACTCAGTGTGAATCTTCCCGGTAACTGGATCAATTTCGCCAGATAGAGTGAGGACTTGAGTGATTTTGGTGTTCGCACTCAACACTAAAGGATCGTTGCTGTCGACCTGCACAATTTTGCCAGTCTTCGGATCGACCATACTGTATATGTAAACGGTCTGAGTGGTCACGTTGATGATTCGTCCAGTTCTCTCGTCGAATTGACAGTCTTTCGGGTCAATCTCCTTCACTTTGCCTGTCGGGTCGTTTTGGGTGATCAAGTAGATTCGGACAATCACCATTTTGCCGGTTCGAGGATCAATTTTACCGTACTTGGTGTAAATCTGTCCAGAAGCTGGATCAATTTCAGAGGCCGAGTACAGCGGAGCTCCAGTTTCATCCACTTGATTGGTCCTGGTGAAGATTTGACTAGTTTCCGGGACGACTTTCGCGGTGTTTTCATCAACTTTGGACATTCGCTGAATGTTTCCAGTTTTCGGATCAATATAACCGTACACAGCAGTCACATACCCGGTGGTCGGGTCCACATTGCCACTAGTGTAAACATCCTCCCTACTAACAGGATCATTATAGTCAAAGACCCAGATCTGGTTGGATTTGGTGTCGATCCTCACAGACTTCGAGTCGCGCTTCACTATCTCCCCTTTCTCATTCACTTTGGGGTCAGTGATCAAAATCCCCACCAGTCTTCCGTAGTTGGGGTCCGGTTTTCCCGTCTTCGGATTAGTGTAGTTGCCTTTAAATAGAATCTGGCCGGTTGTGGGGTCGACCACGCCCTGCTTGACCTCATGCTTGCCACTCTTCGGATCTATGTGAGTGAGAGTGGCGTTCACTGGATCGATTTGCCCATACTTGGTGTCGATTCTATTGGTGGCCGGGTTGTAGAGGCCGTTTGAGACCTCAGCTACAGCATTTTTAGAGTCGATCACGTTCTTTTTTGGGTCGACTTTGCCCACGAAAGTCAACACTTGCACTTCTGGATCCACTTCTGGGCCCAGCCTGATCACCTGCACCAACTGGGGGTTGACGGAGTCGGTTTTCGGGTCTTTGACCCCAGTGGGGACAATAATATTTCCCTCAGAGTCCACTTGAATAGCTCTCACGTCGGTTTTACCACTTTGAGGGTCTGTGCTGGTGATCGTCAGCAGTTTCAAGTTGATCACGCCATATTTCGTTTCAATTTCCCCAGTAGCTGACACTTTTTTGCCCTTGCTGTTCTCGATTTGCCCGCTGTTCAGGTCAATGCTTCCGGTCTTCGGATCCACCTTGGTGGTGATTGTGGTTATTTCAATGACTGGATCATTTTGCCCGGCAATGCTGATAATCTGTCCCAGACCGCTGTCGATTTTCCCGGTCTTGGGATCGACCACTCCGGAGGACAGAATGATCTGCCCATTGGCGTCATTGATCTGGGCAAGTCTGGCATCGACTTTCCCAGTCTTCTGATCATTGATGATCACTTTTCCATTCTTCGGATCGATCAGCCCATACTTCGACTCAATAATCCCAGTCTCCGGGTTGAGAAGAGCAGTCGACTGTTCGATCTGGCCCTTTTCCAGATCGGCCTTGCCAGTTTTCGGATCGATCCTCGTGGTGATCACCGTGATTTTGATCATGCGCTTCTTGGGAGTGGGAGCGGCTCGCGGATCTTGCGCTTGTTTCAGCCCCACCACCGAAAACACCTGTCCTAGATTGGGGTCCGGTTTTCCAGTTTGGGGGTCCACCACCGGGCCCCCATTGATGATTATCTGCTCGGTGGATTCGTCCACTTTTCCGGGAATTATTCCCCTTTGGCCCGTGAGGGGATTGTTGGAGATTAGGGAGCCTGTAGTGGCATCCACTTGGCCATACTTGGTTTCGATGAAACCAGTGGCGGGATCAACGTATCCGGTTAGATGTTCCACCGTTCCATTCTCCGTATCGACTGTGCCAGTTTTCGGGTCCTTCCTGCCGGTGATCACCATGATCTTCACAATGCGGTTCTTGGCAATGGGGTGCAAAACTCCCGTCACCACCTCCTTGATGGGGGTGCCCACACTTTGCGATGTGATCAGCCTTTGGGGCGACTTCGGCTTGAGCTCTGCAGCTGGCTGCAGCAGCTCCTTTTCCGACGGTTGCTGAGAGGCAACTGGATCAATGGTCGGCTCAGTAATATGCACTGATACAGCCCGGCCAAGGTCTTTATCGACCTTTCCTGTTTTGGGATTGACAAACCCTCCCTTGAACACCAGCTCGCCAGTGTTGGGCTCAATGTGCCCCACTCTGGTATCGGACTTGCCCGTCTTCGGATCAATGATGGTGAGCGTTTCATTGACTGGATCCAGATGGCCGTACTTCGTGTAAATTTTGTTTTTATCCGGATCGTACAGGCCAGGCGACGATTCCGGCACGGCGTTTTTGGAATCGATGGTGTTCTTTTTGCTGTCGACTTTGCCGACGAACGTCCTGATCTCGATCTCCGGATCGACCTCAGGGCCAATCTGGATCAGCTGCACCATATTGGGGTCCGCTTTATGGGTCTTGGGGTCCACCACTCCGGATGAAACAATGATGTTATCGTCTTTATCCACACTAATGGGCCTGTCTTGCACGATGTTGCTCTTGGGGTCGCGGGTGTAGATTCGCATCAGCTTCAAGTTAACGGTGCCCTGCTTGGTTACGATTTCCCCAGTTTCGGGAATAATTTTCCCGTTGGTTACCTCCGTTCTGGAGTGGTTGAGGTCGATCTTACCGGCAGCATCTTTCTTTGCGGTCACAGTGGTGATAACCACTGCCGGATGTTGCGGATCGACAACGTTGATCACTTGGGAGAGATTGGAGTCGACTTTTCCAGTTTTCGGGTCCACAACGTTGTCGCTGATGAAGATTTGCCCGGTGTTTTCGTCCAGTTTAATGGGAGTGACTGTAGTTTTGCCAGCCTTGTCCTTTTGAACCACTTTGCAGTTCTGCGGGTCGATTTTTCCATACTTTGACTCAATAAGGCCACTCACTGGCTCCACTGTGGCGGTCAGTTTTTCAACTGTGCCCTTTTCCGTGTCAATTTTCCCGGTTTTCGGGTCCTTTTTGCTGGTGATCACCAAAATCTTAATAACCCTCTTCTTGGGAACCGGATGACTCGGCAACGCGTACTTCACAGGGGTTTTGGGCTCCGTCGAAGTGCCATAGTCTCCAACCACTGTGATAACTTGGCCTAGATTGGGGTCTTTTTTGCCGGTTTTCGGATCAATCACCGGCCCACTGGCCAGGATGATTTGGCCGGAAACTGGATCGATTTGCCCTTGGACGGTCTCCTGTTTTCCTGTTGCCGGATCGGTGATAACAACGGCGCCTTTGCGGGGATCGATTAATCCATATTTTGAGTCGATTTCGCCAGACGGATGCAGAATGCCAGCCGACTGGTCCACATGGCCGTTTTCCAGGTCCAAATATCCAGACTTTGGGTCTCGTTTGGCTGTTATCACCAACAGCTTGATCACCTTGTTCTTGTCTTTGGGCGAAACTGCTGCTACAACTGCGGATGGTTTCGGGGGGATTTTGACTGGAGCGACTGGAATTGGGCGTTTCGCCGCCACACTGGGGTCTGCTTGGGGTTCTTTGAGGGCGATTCTCAATGTCCTGCCATAGGAATTGTCCAGTTTGTGGGTTTTCGGGTTGAGTAAGCCTCGGAACAGCACTTCGCCAGTGGCGGCATCTCGCTGGCCTTGCTTTAGCTCGGTTTTGTTGGATTTTGGATCGGTCACGGTCAAGGTTTCCTGCACGGGATCGAAAACGCCATATTTCGTGTAAACCTTGTTTGTTGCCGGATCGTACAGGCCGGTTGATTGTTCGGCAGGCGTGAGCGTTTTGGGGTCCAACCCCTTCTTGTCCACCTTGCCGGCTACAGATGTCACCACCACTTCCGGATCCAGCTCTTCGCCCACTTGCAAAATCTGACTAAGATTGTCGTCCCGCAATCCCGATTTCGGATCTACCACTCCTGATAGAACAATCACGTTGCCGTTGGCATCGAACTGCACTGGATGCTCTTCCAGTTTGCCGCTCTTCGGGTCTTTGGAGCTGATGGTGCTGCGCTTCGCGTCAACAGTGCCGTACTTGGTGACCAAAACTGCTTTCTTAGCCTCGATTTTCCCGTTCGTTGTTTCTTTGTGGGCCTGCGTGGGGTCCAGCTGGCCGCTTCGCGGGTCTCTCTTGGCTGTAACGGCTGTAACCGGGACCACTGAGTCCCCATGATCGCCCACCTTGATCAATTGCCCCAGAGATGGGTCTGGTTTGCTCGTCTTAGGATCAACCACTCCCTCTTCAATCACGAACTGATTGAGGCTGTCATCCACTTTAATGGGGCGCGACTCCAGTTTTCCACTCTTCGGGTCCCTGTGGGTGATTCTCCTGCTTGCTGGCTCGATTGTGCCGTACTTGGTTTCAATGGTCCCGCTCTTGGGATCGAGAATCGCGTCCAACGTCTCAACGTGCCCCTTTTCGGCCTCAATCCGCCCACTCTTCGGGTCCTTCTTTGCCGTGGTGACAGTTACCTTGACAATGCGCTTCTTCGGCACGCCGTTGAGCGCATTTCTAGTTTGCGGATCAGAGCCATTGATAGATATGATCTGGCTCAGGGCTGCGGATTTTTTGCCCGTCTTCGGATCAATGACTGAGCCCGAGATGATGAGGATTTGCTTGGTGACCGGGTCGATGTGGCCTTGGACGACTTCCTTTTGGCCTTGCACTGGATCCGTGATGATTACTGTGCCGTTTGATGGGTCGATAAGACCATATTTGCAGTCAATCAAGCCGGAATTAACATTCTGTTGGCCCACGGTGCCTTCAGAGGAAGCGTGCTCTAAATCAATGCGTCCGGTTTTGGGGTCTCTTGGCCCAGTGACAACCAACAGCTTAATAGGGCGCGTTTTGCCTGCTCCTGCAATGGCTGGCGCATTGGGCTCTTTCTCATACTGCTCACCTGCTATAAAGGCCGCACTGTCCGCCTTGGGATCCTGTTTCTTCAGCTTATCAATTTCACCAGGAGCGTAGTTAAAGGCGGTAGCCGTCGCCCTTTTAGTGGACGGCGATTGTTGGCTTTCGGGATCGCTTCTGGAGCTCGAAGGCGACCGCTGATTTTCGTAGCTGAAGCCCTGAGTGTACGGTTTTCTGGGGCTTGCTTGATTTTCGGCCGCTTCGTAGTCATACTCCTTGGTGTAGCCAGGGAGCTGCGGCGAGCCGGTCGGCTCCTGCGCCTTTTCCGCCACTTTTTCCTTCTCCTTCTTATCTTTCGGGGATTTGTCCTTGTGCTTGTTGCCGAATAGGAAGCCGGGGCTCTAATGGTGGGAGAAAGCAAAGTCACATGCTTACTACATGCACAAAACTACTCTTACTAAACTAATAAATCTATTTCGAGATAGCTTATTACACCCTTGCATAAAGACAAAAGTCTGCTTTTTTGTACACAATTGCTAAAGTTCGTGCATTTTCAGATTGTATTCAAAGGCAGACTACAACTTTTTACACTAGCAAACGAAATGTTCAATTAAGGTGAGCACGCATTTGTATTGTTCGCATCTGTACGGCAGAAACGAACAACTAAAAATACATATTTGCACATCAAATGCGCGCTTTCCTTCAGACCAGCTGCCCAAAAAACTTACCTTGGCCCTCTTGTCTTTGGGAGTGCTCTCGCTCTCATTGCTGGAATTGAGCTGATCCAGATCTCCGCCATTCTGCAAGTTGTTGCTCGGATCTTCTTTGTCCTTTTTCTTCTGGCCAAACAGACCTCCGGCCGGCAGTACAGCAACACCTCCGATAGGTTTCTGGGCAAGCACAAAATCTCCATTAAAAACCCCGCGTTTCTGGTGTTTGATTGAAAAAGTTGAAAGCCCTAAGCAATACTACTACATGAAGACACGCAGAAAAGATGAAGCACACGCACACAAGAGGTTACTAGTAATTAGGCAACAACATACCGCTGCTGCGTATTGCTATGCTTATTTAGTAGAATTATCAGTAGATGAAATTAGACACGATTTAAGACTTTAAAAGGCATAAACGGCAAAGAAAAATACAAAGTTTATGAATACATAAAATGTCGCAAACTTTTTAAATGCCTCGCGACATTTCTAGTGTTTATCGAAAACAAATGCTACAGCCAAAGCACTTCCTACCAGTTGTACATGTTAAGCAAAAACAGATTCTTCATTAGAGTTGGGAATAATCGAAGAAGACGAATTAAGTCGTTGAAACAAAACAGATCTACTAAGCTCTAAAACTAAGTCTGAGATCATCGTAGACAAAAAGTAGCAATATACAGCAGACGAGAAGGGGCGCTTCAAAGACCAACTAGTTTGCATTAATGGAAGAAACACTTCCTCAGCTAGAAAGTGAATTGCGGGTCTCAAGAACGCCCCTTGATTTAAAAAGTGATTTTTCAAACACCTTCTGGGACTTATCGGCATCGTATTCTCCTTCCACAGAGCTCGCGGTGCTTCCGGATCTCACAGAACCGCAACTGAGTTTTCGGCCATGCTGAGGTGCCAACAAACACAATGGTTGATATGAGGTGAGGGTTACAATGAGTGATTTTTCGGGTAAATATCAATAGCAAACTGGACAGTGAGCAATCAAGTCTCACTCAATTTTTCATTTTTCAGTTAGTAATGAGGGAATGATCGTACAAGATGTTACCATTTAATATTTTCAATTCGTTAAAAGTTAGCGGGTGACCCAAAATGGGCGTCTCCCTGTTAAGAATTTAGCGCCTTATTCAAACAACACCCTTGGCCCTAAAAAGCAGCAAAAAATGCGTCTGGGCTCAATTACCTTCTCTTTTTCCTTTCGTTCCTTCGGTGACTTCACTTTAGCCGGAGTCTGATTGTCCACGTCGGGAATATGATCCGGAGGATGAGACATTGTGTGTCGTTTGTTCGCTTCATTGTATTCATCATCAGGAATCACCCCGCTCAACGCTGAAAAAACCAAACATGGCACTCAAATCTGAGTGCTTCCGCCTTAAAATGCTCAACTTACGATCCATACTTCTTGAAGTGAGCCGCTTGCCAGTGAGGGATCGTTCAAATTGAGGCGCTGGTCGCTCAATTGGAGTTTTTCTGGTCTCGTAATGGGTTCGACCGGAATATCTATAAACAAAGGAAACTTTAGCCCCATTTGTGAGTTGGAGCTAAAATACTTACCTAAACTTAGAGCCCAAGCGAGGAAATAGTGAGTTGCGCTGATTCACCTCTGGCGACATGAGCCTGAAGAAAGTGTGGTGTTCCACGCAGGTCTTCCAGAGCTTTTTCGCGGCCCGATGATTGGCCAGCTTGAAACCAATGGTGGACTCGAACTGCTCGAACTCACCCGGACGTATTTTGATGTAGAAATTGTGGCGCTTGTAGCTGATTTTCAGAATTTTTGGCCAAGCAAACCGGTTGATGCGCAACCTGTCGCGATAAACCAACAGGCCGGAAGCACAAACTCCTGAAAATTAACACCGCAAATCAGTAGGGATTCACTAATAAAACTACCAGCAGTAGCACATACCCAGCATAATGTCCACGCCTTCCGAGTCTTTAGCAGAATGAAGGTCCACGCCATACATGGCGAGCTTTTTCCCGTTTTCCAAGTAATGAAGCTCGGCTTCGGCCGGAGTTTGTCCTCTGGAAACACGCACTAGTTTAGCGTTTGAGTGCAAAAAAAACTAAAAGGACTTACTTGTGCGTTTTGTGCAATTCGCAGACTTTATCCTCCAGGTCTTGGTTCTGACTGGGCGCAATCTTGAAGTCTTTGAGATAGTTGCGGGGCATCGTTTCTGGATCATAGTCGCCCAGCTCCGATTGGGCCAAATAAGAGCCCAATAGAGCGTGCGTCACGAAGGAGCAAGGCAACCGCGAATTGAGAATGTCGTTACGGATTTGGAGGCAAAGTTGGTATCTGAAAATCGCCTCAAACCAATACAGTCTCAATAACAAGGCACCAAACGCTTGAGCGGGACGTCATCACAACTAGACCATTTCGGCTGTTTCAAGCAAGTTTCAATTAGAAGTAGCGGAAAAGATTGTTCCTTTGTAAATAATTTAACGGCTTCTACTGTTGAAGTAGTGAGTTTAGGCAAGATTTTGGGCCGAAAGACGTGCACTTTGCGAACGAACGAAACCATCGCTCGTAAATAATCATTAACTGCTTTGGTCACCCGCTCAATGCATTCTTGACCGGCTTAAAACCGGCCTACATGGTCCGACGTCATCAAACTTAGCCCTTAGGCCTTATTATCAGGACGGTATTGATCAATCATCATCCCAGCGCTCAAAGACTCACCTAGTTATGTCTTCCTGTAGCTGAGCAGGATCGGGCGGATAGAATTTCACTTCGAAACTGAACTTCCAAGGTTCATCTGAAACAAACCATTTTATTATCAAGAGGACTTTCGAGGTATTGGTTGGAAAGTGGTGAGTTCTTCGAGCTTTTAGGCCGAAACACCAGGCAGAACCAGTTTCAAGCCATTTTATTATCCAATTGATTCAACTTACTTTTCATGAACTTGGCTATTCTCTTGTCCAGTTCTAGCCAATTTCTTGGGTCGTACCGGTCGGCGTATACCAAGCCAAAGTAGTCTTTTTCGATCAGGTTGATCGCCTCGCATACTTTATCCAGCAGGTCTCTGCCTTTCGCTTTTCTCTGCAAATGGTTTTGCCATGCAAATCCAACTTTCTGTCTTTTTTCCCCTATCTACTTACATCGATATTCAAAGTCAGAACTGACCCATCAAGCATGGTGATTTCGGTCCACTCGAATAGACCATTTTTGCCGCTTTTAACGTCCTTTTTAGCTGGCGAAGCTTCACTATCAATAGTCATTTTCTTCTCTTCGGGCATGGTCGCCTAATGTTCTGCAACAAAAATGATTCATATAGTTTTCAGCGCAGATGATAGAAATATGAATGTCAAATCAAGGTGCAAACAATCAAAGGACTTAAGTGGCGCGAACACAATTTGCCACAATTTAGAACAAATTTAAACGCCGGCTTAATGTCAATAGCGGCATTAATTACTATTGCCGTTCAGTGTTGGATCGGATTTCAAAACAGTGGCTGATGTTTTTCGTACAGAAATATCTCAAGTTGCGGTTTATTGCGGCAATTTGAAGCTATTTCAATACACTTTGTGCGTTACGCACGTATTGATTTGCTTGCAACAAACAACTATTAAAAAGTCAATCTATTTCAATGGATTCTCATACTGCAACAGCTGCCGAGAAAATATTTTTGCGTTAAATTTGCGAAAAATTTAGACCCGCTGTTCAAGAATCTTGTGTCTCCTCATTTGCCAACCGGTTGGTAGTTCAATGGTGAATCATTCCACATGATTCATATTCATTTGATATGAGTGGTGGTTTTTAAAAATGCAACTTTGCCTAATGACACTATCTTAAGTGTTTTTCTAATTGGCAAATAATGTTTAGGAGAAAATAGGTGCGATAACATGCGGCAGAGTCAAGCGATTAGTATTCAGGTGTTCAGTACCTGTTTACTGTTAGCAGCTCTTTTGATGAAAGCAGGCAGCATTTTATAATACGGGACAGTTAGTGACTTCAGGGAGCCTCGACTTGAAGCCATATTTAGTCGATTTGTCGAAGGAAATATTATATTTCTTATAACCTCTTATAGTATTGCGACTATTACAGTTGAACGTAAACTCGCACTTGGGAAAATTGTTTTAATTGCTGTTTCTCGACAGAGCAGGAGCGTTTTATGGGCCATGAAAGCAGCTGAAAACCCATTTGAAATAGTGAAATTGCTGGAGTTTGTCGCTGTGAGCCCTGTTAACCTTTCCAATTTTCGTGCTATTCCCAGAATGTCGAATCATTGGGATCTAGGTCAATTTTTTATTGGTTTCCGGCCGAAACATGGAATTTTGCATGTTGGAACTTTCCGTTTTTATAGCCGCAATTTGAAAACATAAAATAGAGTGGCAGAAAATTAAACGACTTTTTAATTTAGATTCAAGTTTGCCATATAAACACACGTTTATTGAACAAGAATACCATTTTAAAAATGCACAGTCCTGGTTAATCCAGAAATAATATCGATAAAATCAACTAGAGCATCGAAATCACATTAAATTACTTTACCTGTTGTTCACATTATCTGGAGTAAAACTAAATTTTCCAAAAATCATCCCCTCTGGCTGAGCTTGAGTTTGGCTTGGTATTTAATTATTCTCTATTATCAAAAACTGTGGGCGTATTTTTTTCATGCACATGTGGGCGAGCCCTTGGCAAATAATCCAGTGTGATACAAAGCGCCACACCCCTTAATCAACTGACAAAACCAATTTCGTTGGCACAATGAACGTAATTAGGACACACGATAAGTACGGCGGATAATCAACCTTGCATTCAAGCAATTTGGGCTTTACAGGAATTTTTAGTAAATAAACTGTTAATTAGTGAAAAAATCTCTATTGCTTTTGTAAAAGTTTCACTAACTAGGGAATTAACATGGAAACGTTCCATCACACAATTCGTGCCATATAAACAGTTGCAGAAACTCAATCAACTTGTACGCTGACGATAATTGCTTATTATTAGTCGTTTTTCTAGATCTTGGCAAGGCCTTTGACCCAATGCTCCGTGACTCAGCGCTTAAGGTACTTGCTACGCCTTGAAGACTGCGAACATTGCGGGTGAAAAGTGATTCGAARGAACAGAGAGAACAGTAATTGGGTCAGTGATATCTAAATGAGACAATTTTTACGCTGATATGAGAATAAAGAAAGCCATTGATACTATTGAAGAATTGATGCTTTTCGAGTTTTTAGCCCGTCGGCAGACTTTCGATCTTTCTCCACGGCTATACAATGTAATTGAAAAAAAGCCAAACAATTTTAGCGAAAMTATTTCAAGTCGCAAACGTATCAAGTTGGAACGCAGCAACACACARGTCATCGTGCATCTCTCAYAGACTGCGATGGGTGCGAGCGAGAGAACCGATGTTCGCTACGTTCCGGATTGGGAAAATTAGTTGAACTTAACAAAAATAGRATCGAACAAATATTAACAGATCAGTCCCATTTTCTGATTGTTTGCAAATGATCGTGTATCCAATTGTGTCTTGGGGCCACACATCAAATCGGCCCCGCTCTGTTCGGTTCGCATTGTCGTCAATATAAACTATTGGGTAWATGGTTGAAAATAAATMAGTATTAAGTATTTATAGTGCTATTGACATTGAACAGCGCGCTTTTGCACCAATCATCGATCATTACTTGCTCGTAAGGTCGTTCACAGCCAAACCTACACGCACCTTTTGATAATAAACAATCACAAAAAGGTCATTGTACAGGTGATTGCCCATCTATATGGATAAAAAATTGCGACATTCATGCAATATCGCAGTCATTCGCCGGTTCTGTTAACACGGTTTAAAGGAAAAAGAAAACAAATTTCCGGTCGTAAATGAATTGTTAGAAGTCCGCAATAATTAGGATACTTCGAGTAGAATCATCCGCACAACATGACGATTTTATCAGCCTAATGCGTTGTTTACACAATGATCAATTGGCCGAAGATACATTTCAGAAATGTCTAATCTTAATATTTATATAAACAAATTCGATTGGATAATAAATTCGTTTAAACATCTCGAATTGGCGGCTTATCCAGAATTAACTGCAAGCTTTATTTATAGATATTTGTAAACCAAACAGCTCAAGGACTATGCGATATTTAGCAGGAATACCGAAAACGTCGCTAGATATCGCAAACAAAAAACTTCTCAATTTCCAAAAACTGTATTTTCACAGAAATACTACCTATTCGGATCAAGCTAGAATTGTTGTGCTTGATATCGGTTACATTCTAAGAATAACGTCGCCAACAACTAAGTGAATAACTAACAAACGGCCGCTCATTATTCTCGAATTAGACTTAATCTGGACCTGCAAGGGTCAGTTCTATCATACAACTTAGGCTATTTATGTACTGATTGGGAGCAATTTGGTGTTATGATGCATTCAGGCTGTCTCAGAGCGTTAAAAATTGAGGTTTACTAAGAGACTATAATAAGAAGCAAAATGTTAA